AAAAGTGTTTGGTAGTCATTTGTAATATCTTAAATTATTTCTTTCGCTTTCTTTTTTTTTATTACATCGAAGTGTAAAAATGGGCAGATTTGTAAAATAATTATTTTTCTAATAATTTTAGTTTCACTTGACCGACGCATGAATAAAGTGACCAGGCCCATGTCAATGTTAATTTTACATAAGGCGGAGTAATACACAACGTGCATTTAAGTAGATCTTAAGCAGGGCTTTCGAAAGTGCTCACTTTATCGTGAAAAGCCTATAGTGAGAGAGGACAGCCAGTATCTCCGAGCGAACAGTTGTTCCGCTCCGCGCATGCGGTCGGTGTTAGTGTAATCGGCCGGCGCCCGATCTTTGCGCGATTTCTCACCACAAACTAGAGTGGTCCCCAGGCCCACCAAGAGACATTCCAGGCACCTGAGCAATGCGTGCTGTGCCCCCCCCCCTACATCCTCCCCAACAAATATCCCAAATATCCACCAATTATAACAACATAAATAGTCGTCATCCATGCAAAAATAAGTTAATAAGTTTTGAGTGCGGAAATTAGATTTTTACGTAATACTTTGTTTTATAAATAAACATTTACGAGTCGGGCCCGACACCCCTTCACCCCCCCCCCCCCCTTCCTCGCGGACCCGGGGACACGGGCCCCTGAGCATTGTACTACTGGCGGGCCTGGTGGTCCCAGAAATGTTTTGAATTTATTGAACTTCACAGAAACCATCCTTGTTTGTGGGATCCACAGAACTCAGGGCTACAAGAAAAAAAAAAGATTAAAAATAATGCTTGAACGTCAATAAGTGCAATAGTGGGGCGCAGCAGTGTAAAGGATGTACACGGTCAAGTGAGCACTTTTGAAATCAACTTTAGAAAAATGTCACTGCCCCGGCCTACAAATACTTCAAAGGGCTCACTAAGTGACATGCTCCCGGTAAAGGTGGTAACGATAGATGGAAAGTAGTTCCATATCTTAGCGTCGAATAAAAAGTGTTAGGTGACCTTTTGTGATAGTTTAAATTATTTATTTCGCTTTCCGGTTTTTTTAAAGCATCTGTGTTCAAAAAAATTAGCAGATTTTTAAAATGTTTACTTTTCTAATAATTTCACAGTGTCTCGATCGACGAATGGATAAATTGGTGAGGCCCACGGCAATGTTAATTTTACATAAGGCGGAAGAATACACAACCTGAATACAAGTAGATCTTAAGCAGGGCTTTCAAAAGTGCTCAGTTTACCGTGAACAGCCTATATAAGTGACGAATATAGAGACCCTCATAGCTTTTTTTCGGCGCAAAACACAGTAAATGCAGATGCAACGATCCGAAGCTGGATCAGATGAAGTACACTCCGGCAAGTGGTTTGCTTTCACTAGTATGCTTTTCTTTGCTTGACAAGTCCAAAGGGAGAGAAACAGAAAGTACTATGTCCGTAAGTAAATTAAATCATTTATTTCAACAATTTACATGCATATTTCTTAAGATATATTCTTCAAAAACCAAAATACTTCGTAAGCACAGTTTACCTCATAGAAGTGTAATCTACAAAGAGCATAACCTCATGGGATTATTCATGTCAGTGCTCAGAGTTTAAAGATGCCATTCTAAATTGCATTGTCAAGGTCACGCTAGTTGCATATGGGCCTACGTCCCCTAATACTTCAGTAAGGGTACGCGAAGAAGATTTTCTTCTGAAGTAGAGTTGTACAGATACACACAAGACGTGATAACTAAGACAGCATGCTGTGGCTCTAAAAGAATTGGCTTCCGTTAAACTCTAAAAACCGACGTCATAATTCCAAATTTGTCATCTACTACACATCTGTCTCTGCAAGATCTGCTATCATAAATTCGCTTGAGATCATTCTTCTCGTGTGTTCCAAGAGACAGTTTCATCGTGTGTGTGTAAAGAAAGAGCGTCAGCGACTACAAAACCATAGGGCACTGCTTCATGAACTACACCAGGTAAAACGTCATCAGACGACAAGTTTAGATCACAAATTCGTCACTTTGCTTAAAAAGCTGTCTTTCGACAAACACAACCATCCCGAATACGCCCTTGACTTCCAACGTCTGCCTATATAAAGTTATAATTACCCTCAACGATAACCATTAGCATTATACTAAAATTATTCTTGTTTTTGAAGTAGTCGCTTCCGCTTTTAAATGGCGCCTGTGTTAGGTAGCGTTTGCCATCTAGAGCTCCCAAACAACGCGGAAAACCCAATTTCTTGTCAAATTCTTTCTAGACCGATAATCATTACTCTGTTGTCAGGTACTAGTAACAAAAATGCAGTGTGTGCAAGGTTAAAGATTTGTCAAATGTTACACAACTAGTTTGTGTTGCTGAATCTCCACTGATATTGGTGTGTTTTGACACCTACGATGTGTTTGAAATAGGGACCTGTTAAGATATTTGGCATGCTGCGAATACTTGTATAAAATTACACGTGAAACAGCGTTTTTTTTTTTTTTTTTTACAAATACCCAGCAAATAAAAGGAAAACAAACGGATATTTGTGCGCACATTTTTATGATGTGAAACAATAGTTTAATTATTACAGCAAGCGTATTTTCCCTTCACCTCACACTTCCACTGAATTAAATTCCGTACCTATAATATCCTATAACACTTCTTTTCAGCCGTGCGAGCTAAACACCAGAGAGCAACAACCATATTACAACAAACATGGAAGTAAACCCAGAAGATGCTTCCACACGAAATTAGCTAGATGAGATCCACTTCGTGCATCCACGTCACATGTACCAAAGAAACGTGCGGTGGAGGATACAGTAAAACACGCCGCACTTGGAGTTACGTCTTCAGAATTAAAAAGAAACACACGAGACTCCAGTGATAGAAAGTTACGGCGAACATGTGGCCGCAAAAATACGAGAATACGATACGGTTAAAAGTGTCATTGAACATGAAATTTCGCAAATGGCAAGTATTGTCCTTCAGACATCCTGATCAACTGATCCACCCACGTTTCTTTCGCAACTTCCACATTATCAACATTGGCGTGTAGTGAGTTTTTTTATATGGTAAGTAATATAATAGCCCCACATATCTGAGTCTCATATTTTACACCCAGTCTTGCTAGTGCCGGGCTGTGGTTCCATTTTAGATTTCTACTAACAAACGCATCTTCCAACTTTGCTTACCCTCCACATGTATTTACCGTTTTATAATACCTAACATTAGTTATAAAACGGAAACGAAATGAATGCAATAATAATTGAACTGAATATTATTTAGAGAGTATATTGCAAATTATAAGAAAAATCCCATTTTCTCGAACACTTTCATCCACTTTCCAAGGAAATACGTGGACTGGAGGACGCAAACAGAACGATGCTCACCCTGCCGAAGGAACGCAGTCGAGCGGGTGGTGTGTTGTTGCTTGCGAGTTCTATTCATTGCTAGTCGCTTTCGTTTGTGGAAATAACTATTATAGGCTGTTCACGGTAAAGTGAGCACTTTTGAGGCCCTAGTTACTTTTTCCTTTCAGCAATTGTTTGACTATGTAAGTAATAAACGAAGTGTGTATATTCCACTGAATTCGGAAATTAACGTCTAAGGTTAAAATGAAATATATTTATTGACTATTATTCCAAATGATAGGGCTTTCAAAAGTGCTCACTTTACCGTGAACAGCCTATAGATAGCAGTACTATGCGTGTACAGTACTCGAGTTACGAAAAATCTGTTTCTCGAATCGGAAAATTGGGAACTCAGAACTAAATGTGTTTAATGTTAAGCCGAATACTATAAAGCGTCAAACATGTCCAATATACGTAGGGTAAGCATTGCTTACCTTGCGTCTAATGAATAAACGCCACTGATTATCAACACACCACACAACTGACTGTAACAGACATATCGCTCTCAACTCATTGCACAGGATCAGAAGGCAGCAGGCCTAACTCACGTTTCTCGCAAAACTTACCATCGTCACAATGTGCTGAAACATCACTCGATGACAGTGTTGCTAATACTTCTGCAGAACGAGTCATACATGTTTCGACCTTTGATACACACTTGTAGTTATTTAGTTAACTTATTATCCCTGTGCATGTCTCTAAATTTTACTTATTGATAATTCGATTTCCTACAGTTATATTTTCGTAGTTGTATTTAGATTTTGTATTGCCAGAAGCTTTCAAGTTACATCGTATTTAAATTACAAAATATCATAGACTTTTTTGTGTGAACATTCTTTAGAAACATGCGTATGAATAGTGAGTTTCCAGATAACTTAAGGTTACAATTAAGTTTTGTCGTATACGTATTGTTTCGCGACAATTACTTTTCCGATTCCTGATTTTATCGTGTATTAATAATTATTCTAGCAATTCTTCAGAATCGTTCTTGTTAAATCTGCAGAAATTCTGAAAACTTCTACAATCTGACTGCGACCTCAGCTACTTCAGAAAAACGTTCGCATTCTGTGTACTTCTCGCCCTCAAAAATGTTAATATCCAGTAACTTTTTTTTTTCTTTTCTTTGCTAATAGCAAACCTATTACATACTATGAACGCAGAGCTAGCCATGATAAGACAATCTTCTTCGTTCGTCCACGCCATCGTATTTTCACAAGCAATAGTACTAATTCGGAAATGAAACTCGCCCATTAAAAAACTGTTATTTATTTTGGTTTCCAAGCATACCCAACAGGTTAACATTCGCAAGCAATTCGCGTGTGAATGTTTGGAGCAATTCGCTCATTCGCTCGCCCAGTGAAAACGCACCCTACTGCTATGCATAAGCGGGCTAATAGACTTATGTTAGTGTAAAAAGAACTTTTGACACACGATCATCGACACAGATAACTCTGATTTATTACGAACTGAAAAATGGATCGTTTTCAATTTTAAATATATCTACATTTGCAGGCATTACTTTTATTCAAACATGGAACCACAAGACATGGTATATATTAAAAAAAAAAATAGAGAGCAATTTTACACCTTTATTACTGTCGAAAATTAAGAAAAACCTTCCGGTACCGGGAATTGAACCCGGGCTTCCCGGATGAGAGCCGGGTATCCTAGCCACCCACTAGACCATACCGGACTACGTCAAAAATAAGCTCTATTATATGATATACATAACGTTTTCCTTTCTATTAAGAGACTACAAGGGCACAACTGAATTTGTGCGATAGTTCGGTATATATTTAATTTATAGTATACTTCCATCTTGCATTTATTTTAATTTAACCGTAGCACACTTTTCAGATCAAATATTTGAAAACATGGTATGTCAAACGATGGGAATATCTTAACATTTATATATGTTGATTCACAATATTTTGCCCATGTTGTTTTTGTTGCATCTGTAACCGTGATAATGTTATATTCATTTATTCTTTGTTAGTTTCATATAGCAAATTACAAATTATATTCAGTCTCCTCAACGCCGATTACAATACACGGATGCGTTAAGCGGTTTTCACAATACAGCGTCGCGATGCGGCGCGTCGCGTCGCGTCCGACGCTCGCCGCCAGCGACGAGCGTTATTTGCGTCTTCAATAGAGCGACGTTCTGACGCACCGGCCGCCGACACAGATCGTGCTGCCATCTGTTATCCTGCAAGGAAGTTAGTAATTAAATGCTAGAAATGAACGAAATTTTGCGAAGTTTCCTGCCATTTAGTTAATAGAATTGTTATTTTTAGTGATATGCACTTTTATTTAATAAAAGTTTTATATTAAAGTTAAAAATTATGTTGTAGAACATTAACGACTCTTCAGGCATCGGAAAACATACTTTTGTTTTCCTAAAGGTGGGTTAAAATTGACATCAATTTGGATTTCAACTACCGGCCCTGCCTACCAAGCCGGCAGCCGCAAACTTCAAATGGGGAATCAATGTTAAACGAAATTACTTCTCATTGCGCCAATTTTAAAGATAACTATTTCAAACAAAAATTATTCTACGTGAAATCTTTTACGGAATGATGCTACGTAAACATATTTTGATAATTTTTTCGTTTAATATTTCTTTATAAAACGTAACTATTGAAATTTACATATAACAAAAAAGATGGATATAGAATTTTTTTTCAAAGACCATTTTACGTACCATTCTCTGAGAAAATCGCGTCAACGTGTTATTTGTTTGAAATAGTTATCTATAAAATTGACGCAATGGGAATGCATTTCGTTTAACATTGATTCCCCACTTGAGGTTCACGACTGCCTGCTTGGCAGACACGCCCGTTAGTATCTCTACAAAAATTTATTATGTATATTTTCATTTGTTCTTTATCAGCTCCTCGCCAATGAAGTACAGAAATTGTATTCTTAATCTTCTTAATCCCGACCAATGTTCGTCCCTCGTGCAACGTTCTCGACGCTCGACTCTAGCGTCAAGGCTTTGATTGGCTGATGCTCGACGCGAAGCTCTATTGTGAAAACCGCTTTAAGAAAATGAACACGAGTAGTATGACGGGGGGGGGGGGGTGTCAGGCCACTTTTAATTAATCGTATTAACTCTTGGATATCACATTGATATAAAGAATTAATCCTTAATCCGATGAAAAATTGTTAATCCGAATTTATCCGATGAAATTTTTTCGTTAATCCTTAATGCGATAGATTTTTTTAAGTTTTGTGTGAATTGATAAGTGTATAGTAATGAGAAAAGGTGTGCTAAGAGACAAATTTATTATTTTCTTTCTTTCTTTTTTAAGGTGGGGAGCAGCTCTGGTAGATGTTGTCAGACCGACGAGTGGCACTCGATGGCGTGTGGCATGTGTGGACAGGGTACATACATATATATATGTATGTATATATATGTGTGTGTGTGTGTGTGTGTGTGTGTGGTGAAGTTTGTGCAAGACTGTGATAAGTGTTTTTTTTGAGTTCGCAGTGGGATATTCCTCGAAGACGGTGTTGGGAGATAGGCGACTTTGATAGATACTATTATTTCGAATGAATAACAGCGCTGACATAATACTCGCGAGAAATTTCGGAGTGTTTGAATGAAATATACTCCAAAGGAGTTCTACCATCAATATAAATAAATAACACAAGAGTGAAGTATAACGAACACAACTATGTGAATAACCTGGTCTCATAAACAAACGAGTGCTAACAATCACAATTACTTGAGTCTCCAGTATGAAATGAATTAATGAGCTACAGCGAAGCAAAAATGACCCTATAAATATATGAATTAAACGGCAGTCCTCCTAAACACATTAATAAGGGATTTGAAAACATGTACAAATTGCAGATACCTTACATGATTTTAAAACACGTCTGTCCACCTGTGAGACTAGTGAAGAACTTTTGAAACCGAATCCACACATAAAAAAAAGTCAATTTATTAACACGTGTAAAAAAGAAAACTATTAACAGTCAGTGATTTTAATATACGTCCATTCACTTGGGAGGTCGCTGCAGCACTGACTTGGATATGCCAATTATGTCGAGTTATAAGCAGAACTAGGTGTTGAGAGAAAACAGAAGCTGTGTGTGCATCACCTACGTTTGATTATAGACTGATGTGAATACGATTTACTTGAAAAATGGATAAAAATTATGTTTATGATGCACATACTAATACATAAATCACAATAGCTGAATTAAAAACACATAATGAAATCGCACAAGCACCTCTCCTAAAACATGTCTGGTCGGCTGTGAGCTCAGTGAAGCAATGGCTGTAGCGTATGACATGCGGAGACTTATAAGCATGGCCGGCGTCTGTCCGGCTGGGAGGTCAGTCAATGAATGAGACGTCTGGCAGGCAACTGAATTGAAATTACATTATAAATAAATTAAAATATCCTGTTTACGAATTACGGAACCTATTTCCCTACAAAGCTACTATTAATGACGAATAATTTAATCACATCTTCCTGAATGTTACACAGATTTTTAACACAAATTTCACTAGTGTAAGAATAATTCACTTTTAACACAAATTTCCGTTGAAATGTAGGGAGACTCGGATGGCATGAAGAAGTCCTTAATCCTGCAAAGCATAATCCTGTGACACTTTATAGAAACTTCCTATATATATTTTATGAAATTCACAAACTTTCTCTAAGAAAATTAATTAAAAATAACTGACGTACTACAAATTTTTCGTTAAGTCTGTGAAATTCACCGCATTTGGTAACAACGTGAGTTAAATATCCTATAAACTTTTGCAGACCGAGTTCAGAAACGTACTTGAGACAGTAAACTCTTATCAAAATATTAAACCTACCATATAGGCTTAACACACAACAATTTATTTTTCACCGATAAATTAAAAGTTATAAAAAGTTTTTATATTAAAACGATAGGTGAAGCTTGCTGACCGCCAGTCCCTTCGATCGTCGAACGGAAGCCCTGCAGAGCGCAGTGCCTGGTGATATCAAAAGAGCTGGTTTAGAGGAGTGATCAGTAGCGCATGTATCAATGTCAATGCTTTTCGTCAAACTAACATGCCACCGACCAGCGAGAACTGTCCACATTGCTCCTACCTGCAGCCCTCATCCCCTTCCCACTCCACCTCTATTCAAATTATAGAACACATCTTTGTCCGAAACGAGAGTTCCTGTCCAAGGCCACGCACCCCCTCTATCGATCCAACACCGAGGTCCACAAAACCTCTACAAGGACACGCACCCCCACCCTGCCCCGACCAGGCAGCCCCCAGCACAGAAAGTGTGTATTTTGTCCATGGCATTGGGAACTCTCCACCCCTCGGACCAGAAAATTTTGAACTCACCCTGCCTGGCTAGCTCCCCTCCGCCCCATTACCAACAAAATTTCACTTTCGACTGGATGCTGAAGCATCGTCAAAACCGATTCTCTAACCTAGAGTCTCTCTTGTTCCCAGCGAAATAAAACTTCACAAGTCTTGAAAATCAAATTTATAACCCTGAAATTAAAATGAATTAAAATTACCCGATATAGTAATCCCCAGATTCCAAGAAATTTTATATCTTAATCCAATAAACTTTAAGTTTTATCCTGCAAACTTTATCCCATTTTCCAGCAAACTTACAATTAACTTTAAGATTAAACTAATCCATGTTTAATTTCATACCAACACAAATACAAGAGATACTCTCACACTCGATTTTTTTAAGTAATGAGAAACACACATCATTAGATTTAAGAAATACACAAGTTAAACTATTTTTTTCAATCATTGGAAACTTACATTAAACAAACTCACGTTAAAACTAAATGTCTTTAATTCAGGAGAATAGTAAACATACATATTCAATCTGTTTTAAATATTTGTGCATATTTTCGCATGTAGATTTCTCCCTAAGTTTCACAGCCTAGAATTTCTACTATACTATGTAGCATAAAATATGTATATTTGAAATTATTTTATTTAAAATACTACTTTTTTGATGTAATATTGCTGAAATATAACGAATCCAGCTTGGAATGACTGCTATCTAATCTAAAATATGTCAAATTTCATGATATTTCAAATTAGTTTCTAAAAACGTCCAAATTTAAGCAAATTTAAAGGAAATCGATGGCCATTTTGAATCAGTTTACTATATAAGGAGGGATGAATTAATTCTTTCTCTGTGTTAAGTCGTCAGCTTCCAAGGTCATTCTGTGTGTGTACATGCATATGCATTGCATTAGCAGTAGTGAGACTTAGGAATCTACACCGAGAACGATGCTAGATGTCTACAACGACAGGCGTCCACACCAAGAACAATGCCAGGCATCCATCACGTCTACAACAACACCAGGCATCTACTACAATTCCAGATGTCCACTACATCGTCTAGATCTACACTGCAGTATCTACAAGGGATTTCATCTCTGCATCAGCCCGCAACAGGTACGATGCATCAAGGTTATTGCTGTGACAATTGTGATGCGGAATGTGTTGCAGCATTCAATGCGATTTTAGCATACGGGAAAGAGAAAATGTTGTTGAGTTTAGGCTGTTCTCAATTGTGAGTGCTGCCGAAAGAATTTATAATTTATTTTGCAGGGCACAAAATAAAACTAGAATATCTGTTCCTTGCTGAACTTTTACAAGCTGAAGAGGATATCATTGTATTTGCCATGTGAAGACTGCCCTTATGGCATGCCTGA